GAAAAACTATCCCAATCGTTGGTTGGCAAGAAACGCCATCTGCCATCCAATGAAATGGACAGGATTCTTCAAATCATCCACCTTGGAACTATAATGGATAAGAAATGAAAGTTTTGCCACATTGCTCCACAAATGGCAAAAAAAAAATGCAAAACTATCCCAATCGCTGGATGGTAAGAAACGCCATCTGCCATCCATTGAAATGGACAGGATTCTTCAAATCATCCACCTTTGAACTATAATGGATAAGAAATGAAATATATTCCACTTGGGTTTCTATGTGGCAATAAAATGTAAAACTATCCCATTGAATGGATGATTAAAGATCTTATTAACTATGGCTTCAAATTCGCACGATCGCGATGCGGTGCTCATCGAGCGCCTTTCCCGTGTCGAGGCGGATATGGTTGGTCGTCGCGTCCAAATCAAACTTGTAAGTGGCCAAAACCTTCTCGCCGTCACGCTCGACGCCGCATCTGAGCGCGTTGAACACCGTGTTGATGCTGTTCAGCAGAAAGACCACATCGTCGTTAAAAGCGCGCCCAAGCGGCTCGGTGTCTTCCGTCGTGATCCGCGCCGCGAGCTTCGCGACCTTCTTGCTGTGTAGCACCGGCTCTTCCTTCGCGACGTAAGCGCACACGTCCACGATGTCGATGTCCAGTACGAGCTTCAAGTACTTCCACAGCGGGTACGCCCCATGGTAGAATATGTAGTAGTTGAACTGGTCAGGAGACATTATATTATAAAGTTTAAGGTGCCGATTCGTTTTTTTCCGCCGTCGGTTGCAAGCAAGAGCGATGCGAAAGTCTTCACTCAAAGTTACCGGTTTGGACGGTGGACATTGTCGACGCTACTTGTAACATATTATCAAGTGGCGTCGGGTGCCAATTCGTTTTTTCTCCTCCGCCGTGATCGGTCGCAAGCGGAATAACGTGCGAGAACAATACAATCAAGTAGACACAGTATATCACGCAATGCCACCAATGCCACCACTGAAGCCGGCCTCGACGGCCGCCACCGCCTACTCGACATGCTACCCGGAAACGGAGGTGTCGCGCGTGTCCTTCCACCTGATGAGCGGCGACGACCACGCCAAGGCGTCCAATTGCACCATCGTGTCCAAGGACCTCTTCAGCAACGACCGCCCCATCGACCAAGGCATCTACTCGCTCAGCATGGGGACCACCTCGTACAGCTTCCGCTGCAAGACCTGCCAGAACATGCGCGACCGCTGCCCGGGCCACTTCGGCGCGGTGCAGTTGCGCTACCCCGTCGTGAACGCGCTCTTCCGCGGGGAGGTGCTGCGCTGGCTGCGCCGCGTGTGCCACGGCTGCGGGGCCGCGCTGGGCAAGACCTCCTCGTCGGCGAAAGCCGCGGTGTGCCCCGCTTGCGAGCTCGAACAGCCGTTCGTGTAAAAGTACCCGAAGGAGCCCATATTCCTGCTCCGGCGCGACGCGGCCACGGGTGAGGAGAGGCGCTTGTTCAACGACGAAATTGAGCGCATCTTCGACCGCGTGGACAGCCAGGTCAGCTACCACCCTTCCGCGCTGCTGCTGCGCACGGTGCCCGCGGTGCCCAACAACGCGCGCCCGGACGTCCGCAAGCTCAAGTCTTCCACGCGCTCCAATAATAATGACACCACCACCTTCATCAAGAACGTGGTCTCCACCAACGAGATGGTGCCCCTGCTGCTGACGGAGGAGGACAAGGCCGCGCACGAACCCGCGCTGAACTTGCTGGAAATCACCCACAGCAACATGGTGCGCGACCCGGCCGGCACGGCCACTTCCAGCCGCATCGTGGGCAGCAACGGGCAGGCGCTGACGAGCCTCGGGGCGCGCTTGCGCGGCAAGGAGGGCCGCATCCGCGGCAACCTCGAAGGCAAGCGCTTTCAGCACGGCGCCCGCTCGGTCATCTGCGGCGACAACAACATCGACATCGACGAAGTGGGCATCCCCATCTCAGTCGCCAAGGTGCTGCAAGTGCCGATGGTCGTGCGCGAGTACAACATCGACGAGGCCATGACCTACTTCAGCAACAAGAGCTGCGCGTACCCGGGGTGCAGCAAGCTCGTCAAGGGCGACACGGGCGCCACCTACCACATCGCCTCCATGAAGGACGGCATCGCGCTGGAGTTCGGGGACACGCTCTACCGCGACCTCGTCGACGGGGACGAGGTGGCCATGAACCGCGCGCCGTCGCTGCTCTACAGCGCCATTTCGGGCCACCGCGTGCGCGTGCTCGGCAACGGGGACACCTTCCGGCTGTCCGTCAACGTGGCCGACACGCTCTACGGCGGGGACTTCGACGGCGACGCCATGAGCGCGTACCTGCCGCACAGCATCGTCGCGCGCAACGAGTGCGGCCTGCTCAGCAACCTCAAGCGCTGGTTCATCTCGCTCAAAGACAGGTCCCCCGCCATGGGCGTCTACCACGACAACTCCATCGGCATGGCCGAGCTCACGCGCAGCCACGTGCCTTCTTCGCGTGCTCGTGGAGCCTGCTGCGGCGGGGAGCCGACAAACTCGAGAGCCTGCTGAAGAGCGTCGTGGACGAGAGCAACCGCCGGCGT